AGGGAAAATATTTTTCTTCTAAATTTAAGATCACAAGATAGACTTAGTTTATTTTTTTCCGAAGATGAGAAGGTCGTAAACTTCGTTTTCGTAGAGAATCTGTTTTTTCGGTTCATTTCTTCTTTACTGAATAAAATTTAATGTTATTTCGTGAACAAATATAATTTTAATCAATCTTTCCAAAAATTCCTTTAATTTTAATTGGAATCTTTCTTGACGCAAGTATCATATCCACTTGCTTTGCTAAAACAAAATACACCAAAAGACCTTCCATATTTTGTAAAGAACAACAAACACATTGCCATTTAGCATGGTGTATAGGTAGGTGCAATTCGATTCAATTTCAAGTGATTCTTTCCTCAACATCATATTCCTTTTTTTCTATGGTAAAAATCCTTACAGACGGGAAGTAACTACAACCACGACGACGACGGCCACCACCTGTCCTTAACGCATGGAAGTCTATTTTTAGACTGCTCACGAACGAGCTGAGACATTAACTAAAAAACCAGGAACTCACAAAGAACCACTGAACCACTAATCCTCCTACTCAGTGTTTGATGGTGTACTCCGTGGCTGACAAAAAGAAGAGAACCTACAAAGCACCAACACACACAACAGCCAGCCCCATTCAAAATATTTGTTGAATAACAACAACAACAAAACACTGGGGCACTCATTCAAGTGATTCGAACATGAAATGACAAGAAACGTGTGCCCAACCAGGAAAACAAAAACCACGATCGAAGCAAACGAAGCCAAGTTGAATGCAACAGAGCAGAACGATGGTGCCACACAGAGTTAACCGAAAGAGCACAAGACATGACAGAGAGTGAAGAAAACAAAATTAAACACAACAGCTGTACGAACAAAATTCACTGAATGCATGAATGGGTAAGGTGCTGCTAAAAGAGTCCCAGTCACGGTTGCCACTTTGGTCCAATTGGACCAAAAATGGTCCTTTTTTTTACGTTTGGTCCACTGGTCCACTTTTTTCTGATTTGGTCCCTTTTATGAAAATGTTTACAATTATGATACAAAGAAATTTTGAGTGTTTCATCACGCCTTTAAAAATGTATTTACGAAAATCAACACGGTTCACATAAAGCGAAAGATTTGATTCGTTGACAACACTTGAAAATATAATCAAATTTTACCAACCCACAATAGTAAATCAAGTGGCAATATTACCTGTCAGTCAAAAAACAAAGCTAAATCTAGCGGGAAAAAGCTAAATTGACAACACTGGTCAATTGTTTCTTTTGTTTACAAATCAGAAATTGGCAAATCTCGCACAGCCCAAAGCGAATCAACGAGTTCAAGGAATTTCAGGAGTATTGTGGCGTAAAACCTCATAAAACACTTGGAATTTCTTTTACTCGTTGGCTCGCTCTGGAAAGTGTGATTGCACGGATTAATGAACAGTGGGAAGCGCTTCGACTATATTTTTTATCCTCGTGTCTTGAAGTAAGTGGCATTAGTGCATTTGAATTAGCGAATTCAATGGGTGATCCGGAACTAAAAGTTTACATGTTGTTTTTGGCCTACGTATTGAAAATAATTAATACCCTGAATAAAGAGTTTCAATCTGAAAAAGTTCGCTTACCCTTTTTGTACTCCCAAATTGAAGTACATTTTAAACTACTTTTGAGTAATTTTATGCATAACGACTTTGTAAAAAATATTGATTGTCTAGAAAATTTTAATATACATGACAAAACGAAATATCTGCAAGCTAAAAATATTTTTATAGGAAGTAGCGCAGAAAACTTTCTTGAAAGCGATAAATTTACGGATTCGCAACGAATCACAATTAAAACAAATATTTTAAACTTTTACGTTGAATTTTTGAAACAAATTCAGCAACGGTTTGACTTTGGAAGAACTGATTTAAAAAATTTATGCATAGTTACTCCCAACAAAGTTCTATCAGACACAGAAACTTCAATAATGCCTTTAGTAAGCAATTTTTCTCATTTAATTAAATGTGATATAGATATTATTTTAACACAATGGAAACTCTTAAGACTTTTAAACAGTAATCTTAAACCTGATATGGACGTTTGCGTATTTTGGGAAAAAGTTAGTTTATATAAAAACGGTATGGATGAGAAATGTTTTCAAGAATTGACTGATTTTGTATATGATTTAATGAGCCTTCCACATAGTTTGGCGGCAGCAGAACGTAAATTTTTTGAACTTTCTCTTATCAAAACCAAATTAAGGAATAAATTAGAGTTCAGTTCAATCAATAATATAATGCTGTCCAAAGAACTTTGTGCGCAAAAATCAGAGCCTCATTATGTTTGGTCAGTAAAACACATAGGCTGGGCTTAGAATAGAATCACCATCATATTATATTATTTTTATTATATTTTATTATATACATTTATATCAATATATCTGTATAAATTTTATGTTAATTTGTTCCTCTTCTATTGAGCTTACGATCCCGTCACTTGGGTAAAAAAATGTTTTTTGTCATAGAAGTTATTATACCCTACAACACTATGTGTTGGGGGTATTATAAGTTTGATTGGGCCAAAAATTATGTAACACCACGAAATATTGGCTTCCCACATAGGAAAGTATATATGGCTCTTCCTATCTCGCCAAGCTGAGCCGATCTAGCTATGTATGTCCGTCCGTCCGTCTGTCCGTCTGTCCATGTTAATTTGTAATCACTCTACAGGTCGCAATTATGGCCCGATCATCACGAAATTGAAAATGGAGGTGGGGTTAAGGTCAGAATAGAACCCTATTTCTTTTGGAGATGATCGCATAATATTTAGGGGTTGAAATGGACCAAAAACTGAAAAATTTCCTGTTTTTGCAGGTGCTCTACAGGTCACAATTATGGACCAATCGACGCGAAAGTTAGCATGGGGCTAGAGCTTAGGGCTGGGCAGAAGCCTTCCAATTTTGATGGTCATCGGATAATATTTAGGGGGTGGAATAAACCATAACATTTGGGTAAAATAAAAGTCATATTTTCCATTAAACTGCGAATATTTTTAATCCCGGCGAAATCACAAATAGACGAACAGGTTAATTTTGACCGTTACGTAGATGCCGATAGTAAATATATCGGATATATATAACGAAATATATACAATGTATATATACAAAAGAAGGGGATGTTAGCTAGAATGCTTATATCTCAAGAATTGCTGGACAGATTTCGACAAATTTTGTCAATTCAGAATGGCCTCTTGGCATTAAAGAATAACATCTAAAAAAAAAACGCATAAAAAGATGTCTATAATGGTGTTAATATAGATTATTTAGTATTTTGTGACATTTTTTTTATTTTTTCATTTATTTTATCGCATGCGATATTTTCAATTTGACTTAGTATTGAAGTGTATATTTTGTATTATTTTTTCACATTACAACACAGGTTGGGATTATTATATACAGTCTGCAATTATCGTCCGATCCTCACGAAAACGGTAGGGCACAGAAGAACTAGGCCTATTGTTTTCAAAGATGTCTGCAATATATTTAAGAGTTGAAATTAACCAAAAACGGAAAAAAATCCTGATCACACAATTGAAGCCAATCGACACGCCTGAGAAGAGAGTTAAGGACTGGGAAGAATTCTAGCATTTTGTATGACCATTGGATTACATTTAGCTGTAAAATGGACCACAAAGACTAACAGCACGACGGAGTGCGTAAATATTGGACAAATGTCCCTGATGGAAATCCAAAATGGATTTGGACATAAAGGGGCTTCTTACATTTTGTAGTGTTGTAGGGTATCACATGGTCGGCCCCGCGCGACTATAGCCTTTGCTTACTTGTTTTTAAAATAACTTCTGGGGAGAATATCCCAGACAAAAACAAGGGAACTGATGAGGATTGGTGGCTCTTTCCGAAACCTAGGTATTCCCTGCCTTACCCCCTGGTAAACATTACCATCGTTCTCCACTAATAAACAAACGTAGTTTTTATAAAAACAACAATAAAGGGATAAAGCCAGACCATTTTGCAACAACAAAATACTACGGTATCCCGAACAAACAAGCCACACTGTTCTATTAATTTGTTTTATGTATTTATGTGCAAATTGAATTGAAGCACTTTTTGTTAATGTTTAGAAATCTTTACACTTCATTTTTACTTTTTGTGTTAAATAAATGTTTTGTTAAATAATATTGTAAGCATTGAGGATATGCGAAAAAAATGCAAACAAATTGGTCCTTTTTTGTTTGGTTTGGTCCTTTTTTTGATGAATTTTGGTCCCGAAAAAAAATTTTGAGTGGCAACCGTGGTCCCAGTGCCGTAAGGTTCTTGAGATCGACAATACAACAACAAAAGTAACGGAGTAATGTTGCTCTTTTTTCCAAATTCAGGTGATTTTGGGAGAGCCAAACTAAATTTTACTCTTTTATGGAGAGCATTCAGAGATTGAGAGCGGGATTTTCTTGAAGAAAAACAGAGAGCGCTAGAGAGTAACAGATTTGTTGGTAATGAGATTTCTTATATATCACACACACCTTGTATTGGTATGGGTATCAGCTGCCATTGGTTCATTCCACAGCCAGACAATAATAACGGCACGCGTTAATTCAAACAACATGTGCGGCTATCTGGCTGGCTGGCTAGTGGTTGGCGAACACAACAGTCATTCAAACAGGTTTCTGGCACGGCATAGCGGTTCATAGCGAACGGGCCAACGATTGGTGGTTGCAAAGCACATAGGCCGAGTGTGTGTGTTTGTTAGTAATACCACCACCACAATCATTGTTGTTGTTTGTTTTCTTCTTCGGTGTGTGTGCGTATGAATGTTTTGTGTGCCAAGGAAGGAAATAGGCAGACAAGGCATGGTAAGAGAGTTTCAAATAATAAACGGCAGGTGATACTCATTCACAGAGAGCACGTGAGAGAAAGAGTGTAACATTGACTCTCATGATTGGTTTCTCTCCCCCTCTTGAAGTTGCTGAGTTGTGGTTGAAAACTCCTCGGCCTATATAAACTCGCCCAGAGTGATGCTCCAGCACAGTTCTTCGTTGCCTTTGCTTGAGTTCGCATCGCATTCGCTTGTGTTCTAAAAAAAAATAAAAACGGAATAACAAAAACATTTTCATTCATTATTCTGATTTCTTTTTTAATTTTGAAATTCGGTTTTTGTGTTACTACTGACCTAAAGAATTTCGTAAAAAGCCGGAAAACATGATCGGAAAATAAAAACAGAACAGAACAAAAATAATCACAACAAACATTAAAAAACAAGAAACAATTGTGAAAATATTTAACTAAAAATAAAGAAAGAAAAAACAATCAAAATGCACAACATTGAGGATATGATAGTGGAAAAAAATTACAGCAAGTGTCCTTTGAAAAAACGACCAGTTCATTATCATTTCGATGATAATGAAGAGGATACATCGGCCGCCATGGATAACCCCAAGAAAATGATTAAATTGGATAATGACGATGAGCCAGAGAATTTGAGTTTGAAAAAGGAATCCAGCAGCAAACAGATCGCCTCATCGTTGGCCGAAGACGAGGAGGATGAGATGATCAATGTCAGCGATTGTTGTGAAGATGAAGGTGTCGATGTCGATCACACCGATGATGACAGTATGTGCGGGGAGGAGGATGATGAAATGATTGACTGTGTGGAAATTGAGGATAATCATGGTGCCGATGCAAATACCACCCAGGCGGCAGCTTTGGCGGCTGCAGCTGCTGTAGCAGCCGCTTCAGCGGCAGCTGCCTCCGTTGTTGTGCCAACTCCCACATATCCCAAATATGGCATACAGCCATGGAATTTCCACATGTCTCCGTATACGGCTGAATTCTATCGCACCATCAACAATCCCCATTTGGCTCAACAAATTTCCCCACTTCGTGGAGAGCTACTGTCTCCCAGTTCGCCCTCAGATTCAATAGGTTCTCTCTCGCCTCCACCACCACATCATTATTTGTCCGGACGTTCCAGCTCCGTTTCACCACCCATGCGCACCGATGTCATTCACCGACCCATTGGTGTCAGACAAATGCCCAGCTCTCCAGCCTCCCATCAACATCATCATGGTCAGCATCGTTTTATGCCTTATCCTTTGCCAGCCTATCATGGTCACCATCAAACACCAGCCTCCTATGCATTGGGTTATGCCCCCCATCATGCACCCATCTCACCAGCCTACTCTGAATCTTCCTATTATTCAATGAGATCATTGACACCCGAATCTCTAGCCTCGCCTGTGCCGGAAGATTTGTCCCTCAAACCTCAACAAAACAGTGCCAAAACATCACCCCTCAAATCCGCATCATCATCGATTTACATTAAAAGTGAAAACATTGATAGCTCGTCGAATGCCTCATCCTGCAAGACATCATCAAGTGCCACACATCCACCCACAGCCACCTCAACACCAGTGAAAAAAGAAAAGAGTGGTCCACCACGCTACCAATGTCCCGATTGTCAAAAATCTTATTCCACCTTTTCGGGACTGACGAAGCATCAACAGTTCCATTGTCCAGCGGCTGAGGGGAATCAAGTCAAGAAATCTTTCAGTTGCAAGGATTGTGACAAAACCTACGTGTCCTTGGGCGCCTTGAAAATGCACATTCGCACCCACACCCTGCCCTGCAAGTGCAACATCTGTGGCAAGGCATTTTCGCGACCATGGCTGTTGCAGGGACACATACGCACCCACACCGGTGAGAAACCATTCAGTTGCCAACATTGTCATCGTGCTTTTGCTGATCGCTCCAACCTGAGGGCCCATCTACAGACACATTCCGACATCAAGAAATATTCCTGCAGTAATTGTTCGAAAACCTTTAGCCGCATGTCGCTGCTGACCAAGCACTCCGAGGGCGGTTGCCAAGGATCCTCGTCGGCCAGCAACACCAGCGGCAGCCAATCTAGCAGCAATGATCTCGTGGCTTATCCAACCTATGGTGATCATTAACCACCACACTAGCAACTATCTCGAATACCCATCTCGTTTGCCATACAACAAAACAGAAAAATAAAAGAACCACCAAAAATTAGTTCCTAAAAAAACGCACTTTCCTGAAAATAACCAACTGCAACTCAACTTCCTCTCTTATACATGTGCTGATCAAACCTACAACATCCTTCTATATAAACCTGGTGTTTTTTATAGTATTTTTTGTTTGCTTACTCCTTAAAAAAAGGCAGAGCCTAACTTTTTATTTTCTTTTTTTCTATTAAAATCTCTAGTCAGCCTCTTGTATAAAACAAAAACAACAAACAAACAAATTCCTTTCTTGAAAACTGCATTTATTAAAGAATTAATTTTTAGAGAGTGCCTGTACAAATGTATTATATAATTATTATATTTTGTCTTTCTTTTCATGTATAATTTTTTGTAAAAAATGTATGAATATTTTTTTTTTTTTAATTTTAATTTCAAGCAAAACAAATGGAAGACAATGTTTAGTTTTTTTTTTCTTTTTAGAATTTAAGTGGAGGACAAAAAACTATTTTTTATAAAATGAATTTTTTAAAAAAAAATATTTACATAAGTATATCTATAAAGTAGTTATAAGAAATATAAATAAAAAAATACCAATTATTTGGTAATCTATTTTTTATATACATATTTTTATACGACATACAAACACACATAAATGAAATGTTTTTTAGTTTTAATATTGAAATAATTTATTTACAAAACAAACAAAAAAGAACAAAATACAAAAATCGTTTGAAAATGAAAACTTTTGCTATCTTTTTATTTTATTGAATGAAATGTGGGGGAATTTTCTTTTGAATGGCTTTATTTCATACATATGAAGATATACTATACTTGAATGAAACTATGACAAAATAATTGTCCGATACGACCAAAAATAATAAAGACAAATGCAGTAAATTGGGAATGTCAAATGAAACTTAATGTGACAAAAAGTCAATTCTTTATGTGTTTTCGAAATGTTAATAAATTTTGAGTAAAAAATAATTAACAATGGCTTATGTCAATTTTTCATAAAGAACAATTTGAACTTAAGGTGCAAGTACATAAGAAGCTTGAAGTCCTGGCTAGGCATATTTTATGACATTTCATAAAGGGCCGCAATAAAATCCTGCCGTCGCACAGAGGGGTGAAATCACACAACACGGAGATTAATTAAAAAATAAAATTCGTCTTTTGGCATAAATGTTTTTAAACTATTATAGAACACTAAATTCTACATCAGTACCGAAAATTTTAAAGTCATACCTTGTTTAGTTTTCTAATTACACAGTGGCAAAGTTAAGAAATATTTCCTTTTTTCGGAAGAAGGAGGAAAAAAATTATCCTTGGATTTTTGAAGTGCAATAATTTAGTTTTTTTCTCATCAAAAGTGATCATTTTTGAAATTGAAACATCGAATACAGGTTGTTATCAGTGTTTTTGAGTAAAAAAGTTTTAAAAATAATGATGCCATAATATATTATAAAAATCAATTCAAAATATGACCATATTTTCGCCATATCTGAAAAGTATATGGATTTTTAAAAAAATTATATAGAGAAGGTCTTAAAATTTTAATTTTTTAGTATGGAATGTCATCTTTCATAATCAACAAAAACTCGCGCCGTTTTTTGCCGTTTTTATCCGTTTTTGTTAACCCTTTCAGTGTTTTTGTCAAATATATTTGACATTTAAAAGTACTCTCTTTCTTTGCCATTTTTTGTTTTTCTTACGAACCGTTATTTTTGATATTTTTTAATAACAGACACGTTCGCCATTTAAAAATATTGCAGTTCTACTCTATTAGTTTCGTTTTCAAATTTCTGAGCACATTTTAGTAAATTAGTACGGAATTTCAGATTTTTATCTCGACAAAAATTTTCATTGACACTGAAAGGGTTAATTTAAAAAATGGTGAAAATAGTCAACTGATTCTGCGGTGAATGTACTTTGATCTAGTTTTGTGTTTTATTTGTTTTTTTTTTGCTCTTTATTAAATAAGTTTCTCTTGCGTTTTATCCTGTTATTAACTGGAATTCTAAACTATATATAAAAATATTCCAGTCTCTTTAAAAAGTCAGTGGTGAGGTTAAATGCCTCACCCTCAATTTGGACTGATGATCCAATTTAAGACAATGAGAGAGATTTAGGGAAGGATGATTTTTCTATTTCAGATCGGAATGCTTAATTACCAGCCAATTTTGTATACATATTTTTTTATAATTATTCCTTTCTCATAAAAATATGTAGCCTTTTTGTCTTCAGATTTTAGAAAGGATAAATTATTTTTCTGGCTTTACTCAAATTTTTGTAATTTTTCCAATACCAAATTATAAGTTTGTAAAAAACTCTGTCTGAAACCCTCAAAATACCTAATATTAGGAAATGCCATATATGTTTTGCAGGGAGAAATTTCCAAAATACCTAAAATTTGGAAATGCCGTTATATATGGTCAATACTGATAGTGGATTTATCTTCACAAAATTTAGCAGGGAGTGATTTTGTCCTCTCCGAACTCAAAATGTGATGCCATAATATATTATAATAATGATGCCATAATATATTATAAAAATCAATTCAAAATATGACCATATTTTCGCCATATCTGAAAAGTATATGGATTTTTAAAAAAATTATATAGAGAAGGTCTTAAAATTTTAATTTTTTAGTATGGAATGTCATCTTTCATAATCAACAAAAACTCGCGCCGTTTTTTGCCGTTTTTATCCGTTTTTGTTAACCCTTTCAGTGTTTTTGTCAAATATATTTGACATTTAAAAGTACTCTCTTTCTTTGCCATTTTTTGTTTTTCTTACGAACCGTTATTTTTGATATTTTTTAATAACAGACACGTTCGCCATTTAAAAATATTGCAGTTCTACTCTATTAGTTTCGTTTTCAAATTTCTGAGCACATTTTAGTAAATTAGTACGGAATTTCAGATTTTTATCTCGACAAAAATTTTCATTGACACTGAAAGGGTTAATTTAAAAAATGGTGAAAATAGTCAACTGATTCTGCGGTGAATGTACTTTGATCTAGTTTTGTGTTTTATTTGTTTTTTTTTTGCTCTTTATTAAATAAGTTTCTCTTGCGTTTTATCCTGTTATTAACTGGAATTCTAAACTATATATAAAAATATTCCAGTCTCTTTAAAAAGTCAGTGGTGAGGTTAAATGCCTCACCCTCAATTTGGACTGATGATCCAATTTAAGACAATGAGAGAGATTTAGGGAAGGATGATTTTTCTATTTCAGATCGGAATGCTTAATTACCAGCCAATTTTGTATACATATTTTTTTATAATTATTCCTTTCTCATAAAAATATGTAGCCTTTTTGTCTTCAGATTTTAGAAAGGATAAATTATTTTTCTGGCTTTACTCAAATTTTTGTAATTTTTCCAATACCAAATTATAAGTTTGTAAAAAACTCTGTCTGAAACCCTCAAAATACCTAATATTAGGAAATGCCATATATGTTTTGCAGGGAGAAATTTCCAAAATACCTAAAATTTGGAAATGCCGTTATATATGGTCAATACTGATAGTGGATTTATCTTCACAAAATTTAGCAGGGAGTGATTTTGTCCTCTCCGAACTCAAAATGTGATGCCATAATATATTATAATAATGATGCCATAATATATTATAAAAATCAATTCAAAATATGACCATATTTTCGCCATATCTGAAAAGTATATGGATTTTTAAAAAAATTATATAGAGAAGGTCTTAAAATTTTAATTTTTTAGTATGGAATGTCATCTTTCATAATCAACAAAAACTCGCGCCGTTTTTTGCCGTTTTTATCCGTTTTTGTTAACCCTTTCAGTGTTTTTGTCAAATATATTTGACATTTAAAAGTACTCTCTTTCTTTGCCATTTTTTGTTTTTCTTACGAACCGTTATTTTTGATATTTTTTAATAACAGACACGTTCGCCATTTAAAAATATTGCAGTTCTACTCTATTAGTTTCGTTTTCAAATTTCTGAGCACATTTTAGTAAATTAGTACGGAATTTCAGATTTTTATCTCGACAAAAATTTTCATTGACACTGAAAGGGTTAATTTAAAAAATGGTGAAAATAGTCAACTGATTCTGCGGTGAATGTACTTTGATCTAGTTTTGTGTTTTATTTGTTTTTTTTTTGCTCTTTATTAAATAAGTTTCTCTTGCGTTTTATCCTGTTATTAACTGGAATTCTAAACTATATATAAAAATATTCCAGTCTCTTTAAAAAGTCAGTGGTGAGGTTAAATGCCTCACCCTCAATTTGGACTGATGATCCAATTTAAGACAATGAGAGAGATTTAGGGAAGGATGATTTTTCTATTTCAGATCGGAATGCTTAATTACCAGCCAATTTTGTATACATATTTTTTTATAATTATTCCTTTCTCATAAAAATATGTAGCCTTTTTGTCTTCAGATTTTAGAAAGGATAAATTATTTTTCTGGCTTTACTCAAATTTTTGTAATTTTTCCAATACCAAATTATAAGTTTGTAAAAAACTCTGTCTGAAACCCTCAAAATACCTAATATTAGGAAATGCCATATATGTTTTGCAGGGAGAAATTTCCAAAATACCTAAAATTTGGAAATGCCGTTATATATGGTCAATACTGATAGTGGATTTATCTTCACAAAATTTAGCAGGGAGTGATTTTGTCCTCTCCGAACTCAAAATGTCATGATTGGGTTTGAAATTTTGGCCGAAACCTTCAAAATACCAAAAATCAGGAAGTAACGCTATATGGGAGTAACGTGGACCGTTATGTCCCATTTTTAATGCCAAACATAATAGAAGTAATATGAATGTCTGAGCAAAATTTCAGAGCGATAGAATGCTTCCCTGAATTAATCTCCGTTTGTGGTCATCTCACCCCACTGTGCGTCGTTTTCCATTATAATTCGGCATTAATAGCCATGACTTCAAGCTTTTTATGTACTTGCACCTTTTTGAATTTAGTATGTAAGGATTTTACAAAAGGCTTAATATAAATATCCCATAATTTGCTTTTTCGTAAAAAAGTAAAAAATTTGACACTTCGAAAATAATTTCTTTCTGGAACTTTCCAAAATATCCCTTTCCTCCATTCAAGTGTAAATTTTGTCTTTTCATCAATTTCAACATTTTCTGAACTGTGACTGCAAGACTTTCATTGTTTAAGAGAATATCGCTCCATTTTAATATCCACACGGTGCTACAGGATATAATGTCCTTTTTGTGAATGTCTTCCGACTTTATTATTGCGATCAGACCCAATTTGATTTATGTCCTCTGTAGGCATAACAAGAAACCAGCTTTACATAACTTTACAAATTGTTTCTTAGTCCTTCGTTGTAATTAAATTATGCTTTTGTATGGAAATTGAAACGAAATTGAAACAAAAATTAAAAAATTGCTATGTTTCGATTGTCCGAGTAAAAGGCAGAAATAGACAGTTACAGGGAGCGAACTTTCGATAGTCTCAAAAGAATAAGCCTTTAATCACCCATGGCAGTAATATGCGCCCATTACAATGATGTTCGGTAAATAACATCAGATAAAGTCTAGAAATACCATTCAATTTACCACCCTACACCACACTGTTGTGCAGGTTGTGTGCATTTATTCATAGAATTACATTCGGAGTCGATGTATGCATGTTCGTCTGTCTGTCA